CCATCTTTCTTTAGTTATTTTATTGATACCCACATTATCCTACATAGGATCCACTTTTGAATGTTCCAAACTTCAAGAGTTGCTTCCTCAGTGTATTCTCTTCTTGTCAACTTGTTTGATGTCACCTAGATGACTTGACACGTTTCCATGAAAAGTGAATCTCTACTAGTTTCTTCTAGTTCATTTATTTTAAGCCCTGACGCAAAGTCTCCAAGCTTAATAGGACACCTCACAGTTTGGCAATATTCATCCAAATTGTTAATAGCCTTTTGAGCTACTATCCTCTTTTCCTTTGTCTTTTTATGTTCGGTTCTTCTCTTGGAGGATTTTGATTTTGGCTCACTAGACCTTGACGAGCTAACTTGGTCAGGGTGCTATTTACAAGTAAATGCATCTATAACATGTAACCCATTCAAGTCAATCAAGGGCTCGATAGGAGACTTCCACCTGACACCAAGAACTCCTTTGAGTTGCTTGCCATTTCCCCTGAATACTAGCTTTGGTTGAAGATAAGGGTTGTAGGCCTATTTTGACTTATTTTTATACGACATCAGCTACTTGCCTTTATCTATGTTATAAATTGCTTTTTGACCTTTATCAACATCATACACCACCTGTCTTATCTTTTCTGCTCTAAAATAGAATGTAGACTAGGTTTCACTTTTTTTGGCTTATGGAGCTTTGTCCTTCTTGGATTTGTCAATCTGGCTTTCTAATGTTGATAAAGTTAGCTTTCAAAATTTTCCACTATATCGATCAGATCTTGAAATGTGGTTATGGCAGCCATGCATAAGAATGATTGCATATTATCATTGATGTTCCCCATCAATAATTAAATTATATGCTCTTCCACTAGCTGATGCTCACATTTCATACTCAAATTATGCCAACGGGTTAAATATTTGGTTACAGGCTTCTCCCTTTTTTTCTTCTCTAGGGTGAGGTTTTCAATGGTTGTCTTCTCCGTTGCACAGGCGAACCTCTTCACGAATAGAGTCTCTAATTCTGCGAACAACTTCGCTGAATCATTCGGTAATTCATCATACCATTCGAAAATAGTCGAAGTTAAACAACTGATAAACTATTGAAAGAGTAAGGCATCACTGCCCTTAGTGTTTTTGCAAGTGGCTTTGAATTGCGCCATGTGCTGCTTGTTGAAAGTATAAAATTTTGGGCTATAATACCCCTTTGATACGACACCTGGATGTACTTTTCCAGGTATAGTTGACCCTTACCTATTAATTTCTGTCTGGTTTAACGCTATGAAAGCCTTAATATTTTCATTAATGATTATCTCCAATTGTGTCGCTGTTATGAGCTTAGAAACGCTTGCTATGTTTTAAGGTATAGGCTGGCATATCAAGTTATTAACCTCATTTCCACCTTCAGGGAGATTTTGGAGATTTGGAGGGTCAGTAGGTGGAGTGCGCATAGGACCTGTGACATCAATTCTTTGCATCATTTGAATCATTATGATCATTTGGGTCATCATCACAATTATTTTTTTATTCAACTGAGAGATTTCCATATATTTTGCCCTCATTTTCTACCTCATCGATCTTCACATATTTGCTAGCGTTACAATGTCAACAATAAAGGAGTTTTCTTGAGGCTCTTCTTCTCTTTCTTTCGAGGAGTAACCACCTCTACTAGTAATGGTTCCAGCCTCATTATGTTGTCAGTATGTCTGTTTGGGTGCTACCGATTGCCCATCATCATCGTTGCCTTCATCACCATCGTACCTTACTATGTAGAACACTTTAGCGTCTATGATAATGTCGGCAGTATGTCAGTTTTAAGTATTTTGATGCTTTATTTAAATTTTAAATATTGACATTGTTGAGTGTATTTTTTTGGGAATTTGGAGGCATTTTGAATGTTTTAGGTCCCCTACATTTGAGTTTTCTTGCCAACACGATCATCATTGTGGTACTTATAAGTAATTTTACTTTATGGGTTAGACATCATCGACTCTAACAACTTGTCGATGGAGGATTGAGTTAGTTGTCGACTTTAGGCTTTTATTAGTGAAATTTTTTTATTATAAGCCTTAAAGACCTAATATGAATTTATAAAGCAAATATCTTGGTAAATGTCATGACTTTATGATTTTTTAATAGTTTGAGTCATATCGACTCCTATCTATTCACGTTGAGGCGATTTGAGGTTGCTATAGAAGTAATAGTGGAGGGATATCTAGGATTCTGCGAGGAGCTATTGGTGGATTAAGTAGAGAATGGTGTAGCTAACGGGGTGAATCGAATGGGAGTATTGGAGGCTACGAGGATCTAGAGGTCGAATTGTGTGGCTGCGACAGAATCAGAGAAGGTCATGGAGATTTTGGCATGCTATTAGAGACAGTATCAACAATGGAACTAGTCGGCTTGGGTTTGGTGGGTTGTTTGTCTAGAGATTGAGGATCAGTTGGGGGAGTTCTGTTGTTGGAATGATATTGGGCAGAAGTCAATGGGATTCGTTCGGCTGGGGTTGATTGCGAAAGCTGGAGATTGTATCGATACATGAGAACTAACGAGAAGATGTTCGAATGGGTGAAAGAAGCGTTAGGTGAGGATCTCGATTGATGGAGAGGGAGATGGGGTTACCAAGGAGGATTATGTCTGGTAGTGGCTTTTCAGTGTTGAAGAATCGAAGAAATGAAGAGCTTTGTCCATCATAATTTTAATAACAATCTCAGGAATATGATTGAGGCAGTTGGATTATACAATTTGTTATTTTGACTTATTTTGATTTGGAAATATTGAGGTTGATATTTTTCAAAGAAGAGGAGAGTTGTGATACTTCGAGATTTAGATCTAGAGTTTTATTCATTTTGTTCATGAATAATTTGTTTTAAGTAATTAAATATGTTTGAAAAGGTCTCTCCAATCCTTTCACGTTGGAGTAGCTCCAGTGGAAGATAAAATTAGATAGAGTTGCTTAGATGATTTGGTCACATAAAATGGCGGCCATCTCATAACCTGTGTAGGAAAGTAGAGGTATTAGATTTTACTTGTGTTAAGAAAGGTAGAGGTAGACCTAAATTTTAATTTACACAATATAATGCTATCAAATTTATAAGAAGAAATTTTTATCATTTATCTTCCAATATAATATTGATTTTAGGAATAAAAATTGCAGTATAATCATATAAGTTATATTGAACCTAGACTCAAATAATATTCATACACTGAAAGTGTATTGTTTCTTTCTCAGATCTCTAAAAACAAAAATCAGAAATTTCTCCAACTCTACTCTAGTAAATGCTAGCAAACCGTTTGTGTTAAATTCAAAAAATGCTAAGTTGCTACTTCTAATTAAGTAGACAATAGCTATTAGAGCATGCACAATATCAAAATCAAACATTAAAAAAAATGAAAATATTAATTATTACATAACTTTGTTATTAAGTATTGCTACAGAACTTTGCATAAAAAAAGAAAATTATTGTTACATGTTAACTGCATTATAGTTTTTTAGAGTTTTGAAGAAATGCAAGATAGCAAAGTTCAGATTAATTACTACTACAGAGCTTTGCAATTCAGAAAAATTTTCATATTGAAAGTTTTTGAAAGGCCTTTGCTAAGTTTTTTTATTCTTTCCACTTCAAGTACTTTGCTACAGAACTTTGAATCTTGCATTTCTTAACAACTTTAAAAATAATCTTTCCTACAGAAAAAAATTATCAGTTTTGATTTTTGAAAGTTTTTGAAACTAATAATCTTCAGATTAAAGCAAAGTTTTTATTTAAAAATTCAGTTTCGATTTCATTCCTTATCGCTAAAAGTTTTTGAAACAAAAAATTTGCATATGACATAACTTTGCTTTCTTGCATTTCTTTAAAACTATTAAAATCTTTTAAAAAAATTCTCAGAACGTTTAAAATAGATCATTTTAAAAAATAGTTGGATTAGATAAAGGTCACCTTCAAATTGAAGCAAAGTTTGAAAGTTTTAATCCGACCAAAGGCTACCAATAATGGCAACCTCTTCAAACCACCGAGAAGAGTTCGAAGAAGAAGATCGTGGGCGAAGAAGAAGGTTGTGGCTGCCTGCGAAGTGCAAAGCCGAAGGAAAATAGGAAGGGCGAAGACAAAGGCTGGAGTCAGCAGACGCTATTCGAGAACCGTTCCTCTTTTCAGGCTTCGGGAGTCGGGATGGGCAGAGAGTCACGGATTTGATTAAATTAGGGAAAAAATTATTTTTAGGGGGGGTCAAATTTACAAAAGTGTCGCTCTAATGCATTAATTTTTTTTTAGGGTGGGCATTTGAGGTGAACTGGGATCCACCCTTGCAATGATAAAATGTTTTTTTATATATAAATGATATAATATTATAAAATCAAAATTAACATAATCTTGAAATTTCAATATCATCATTATAAGCCGTAACATGATATCAATCCAAAAAATTAACAATAAATTTCATCTCAGTAGTAATCTTTGTATTTGTTACTAATCTCAAAATAAATCTAATAATTTTAAAAATCATTTTCATCTAATTTATATAAAAATTTTCTAAATTGCAGTCAAATAGAAAAGTCATTGAATTCAAAATAAACTACACAATATAATTTCCTCTCAATAGAATAAAAGAAATGTTATTTCTTTTAATGAAAAATTCCCAATAATTAATCAACAACATTAAAAACTATAATACCTCCCCACCGAACCAAAACTGTTTAAGCATTTGACTCATTTGATTATTTGTATACACTTCCTTAAAAAAATTATCCGCATGTAGTGGGACAAAGACTTGTTGTTGTTGCTGATACCGTCGAGAATTATCCTCACGTCGTGGAACAAATACTTGATGTTGTTGTTGTTGTCACCTTCAAAAATTATCCCCACATAGTGACACAAAGACTTCTTTTTCTTGTTGTTGGTGTTACCTTCAAGAATTAAACTCTCAAATAACTAAAAAACTAACTGCAGATGAATACAAAGAATTGAACTATTGTTTGAATCATACCCAATAAGAAGAAAGATAGTCATGTGGGGGAAACTTTGATCTGCCAATACTATGTGGGTGTGTTCTCCCATGAACTTGATTCAAATTTCCAATCATTAGTCGTGGAGAATTTTGAGACTAAGCGCTGCATATCAAGCCATAGATCATCATCAGCCATCATAATTGATGATGTGTCACACAACCTAGTTGTTGGCATCGGTGTTGTATCGATCAATTTTGTTTCTGACAAATTTGATAGATTTTGATTTGTCTGTTTCGTGGCTGGAAGTCCTATCAAATTTCTGAACAAAGTTATAATCCATTAAGATACATTATAAAGAAGGTTACCAATAAAGATATTAGAATTGCTCAACTTATTAAGAGGATTCATGGCGAAATGCTCAGTATTTGATGGTGGTGGCAGCTGCGACGATGGTAATGGCTCCCTATTGACAGTACCGCTGGTCGATAAGTGCTCGAATGACAATTCTTGATTGAATAGCTCTCCGGGTCTTTGTGACTCTCGGAACATATCATCAATGAGCGCATTATTCGCTTGCCCCATCGCTAGAGACATTGGTTGTGGTGACACTTTTTGATGATCACTAATGTAGCTAGGATACCATTTGGTTGAAAGGTGTTCCGTCTTAAAGGGAAAAGTAGATGCTTGACGTTGCTGCCATGGTAGGCTGAGATCGAAGTTTCTTAATAAGTAATTTGTCTCATCATTGCCAGCATTACCTATGTTAATTGGTCGTTGGACCTGATTTTGCATAAGCATGAATGCCATTTGCCTCTTTTTCATAGCTACCTGAGCTTGGATCTCAGGTGGATAAATTGGAAGCCCCGCTCTCTGCCGCCGTTTAACTCTTGTGTTCCAAAAATTCTTTATCTCATTATCTGTTCTTCCTGGTAACTATCTTAGAAAAGATAAGAATATCTAATAAGAACAAACAAAAAAGAAAAAGTGAAACTGAGAGAGAGACTGAGAATTACGTATGTAGCCATTCGAGCCCATTTATTGCCTAGTTCAGCATGATACTTGATTATAAGGTTCTCTTCCTCTTGGGTAAAAGATCTTTTTATTAGATTGGGACGGAGCTGATTAGCCCACCGAAGACGACAGCTCTTGCCACATCGTTGAAGTCCAATGTTCTTCTGAACAGCATTCCAATTCCCTTCTCCGTGTTTTTTCACATACTCCATTAGAAGTGCATCTTCTTCTGCACTCCAGGGCCCTTTTTTCAGAGATTGCGGCGCCTTGCCGTCGTCGCCGCCACCGGGTGAAGATGAATCCAGAAGGCCCAAAATGGGTTCTTCGTTTACTTGGACAGGTGATTTTATTTTCACCTCTGCCTGGGGAACGTCATTATGAACCATTTTTTTGCTCAGTTTCTAAAAATAGTGCGTGAGAGAAGGCATGGAAATGAAGGGCAATTTTTGAAGGATCAAAGAAAGTTACTTATATAGAGGGAGAGAAAATAATAAGTCGGTTTTCCTTAAATCCCGGATTTAAAGCATATGTTTTGTAAGCATATTATTAGCCGTTAGGCATGTGGCGCAAATTCCTCATTCCTTTTCACAGCTCACTGCGTGGACTCGCCTACTTCCTCGCTTCCTACTTTGCTGTGTTGGCGTAGTAAATTTTGGCGGATGTCGCGGGGTGGTTGCCAGGACTTTTGGGTTTTAAAATTGTTATTTACATTATTATAAATTAAATATAAGATAAACTTTAGAAATAAAATTTATGATCATCTGGACCAAACAAGCCTAATGACTCAAAAAAATGATCGGAATCGTGCGAACACTTTAAGCATAAATGAAAAATTCATAGTATTAATTAAATGACCAAACGATCTTGAAATTTAGCATGCTCGTGCATATATTCGTATCGAGCATCTCGACGACATGAAACAAATCCATTCAAGATTATTGAATTTTTACATCATTATTAATATGGTTCTTGAGCTTAACGGAACCGGAAGGGAGAAGATAGAGAGATTTAGGAAAGTAATATTGTATTCATGTCCTAAGTCTATTACAGAGATGATAATATATAGGCAGAGAAGGCATGCAGTTATCAAGAGTGCCAGGATCTTGATTACCGTACAAGGAAATAACGTAAACAATAGCTGACGCGTACAAGTGTTTCTAATAGCCTACCGCAAATTAATCATTCTATGAACAAATGGTTTATTTGGATCTCAAATTATTGAATCTGGTGGCATATAGAGGCTTTGTAAGGATGTTGGCTATCTGATCCGTAGAGCTGACATGACTGATAATAATGTCTCCTTGTTTGATGTGTCCACTGATGAAGTGATAATCAATTTCGATGTGTTTAGTCCAAGCATGGAAGACAAGATTGTTAGCGAGTGCGATGGCGGGCATATTGCCACAAAAGATTGGAGTTGGAGAGTGTTGAGGGATGTGGAACTCTTCTACAAGCCGACGCAACCAGATGATGTCGAAGGTAGCGGAAGATAGAGATCTGTATTCTGCTTATGTGGATGACTTGGCGACCATTGTTTATTTCTTGATGGACCAAGAAACCAGATTAGGACCGAGAAAAGTGCAGAACCCTATGATAGATTTGCGATCTGTGGAATCGGCTGCCCAATCGGCGTTAGTGCAGGTGTGAAGTTGGAGGTTGCCCGGCGTGATTGGTAGTCTGAAGTCGATGGAGCCTTTTATGTATCGGAGAAGGCATTTTAAATCCTAGTATTCACGATTGAGTGGTCCGTGCATTTGCTGGCAGATTTGGTTAGTAGCAAAAGTAATATCCAGTCTGGTGTATGACAGATGTTGTAGAGAACCGGCTAATTTGCGGAATGAATGATGGTCCGAGTAAGTCTGGATCGTTTCAGATCAAGAGATGTGGAAGATGGTTTGCAGTTGGTGAAGCCTGCATTGTTGAGAAGTTCGCGAGCGTAATGTTGTTGTTGTAGAAGATACTCAGTGCTTGTTTCAACGGCTTGTATCCCAAGAAAAAGAGACACATCGCCGAGTTGTTTGAGGCTGAATGTTGAGTAGAGTTGCTGCAAAACACTTTGAATTTTGTTAGGATTGTTTCCTGTAATTAGGATGTCATCCAAGTAGATAAGAATAAATATATGAATTATCCTGATTGAGAATCAATAAATATGGGTCGGCTTTGCTTAAGGTGAATTCGATGGATTGGAGAAATGCTGTGTATTTTTAAACCATGGTCGTGGTGACTATTTGAGCCCATAGATAGACTTGTGAAGCTTGCAGACGTAGTGAGGGTGTTGGGTATCCTCGAAGCCCAAGGTTTTTTCATGTAAACTTCGTCTTGTAGGTCGCCGTATAAGAAGGCGTTAGATACGTCAAGTTGAGTTATGGGCCAGTGATGATGAAGGGCAACAATTAGTAGAATAAGGATTGTCACCATTTTAGCAATTGGACTGAACGTTTCAGTGTAGTTGATACCAAATTCGTGGGAACAACCTTGAGCGACCAACCAGGCCTTGTATCGAGCAATGTTACCATTGAGATTCAACTTTGTTTTAAATGTCCATTTGCAGCTGAGAACGGGTTTTCCCGCTGGTGGATATCCTAAATCCTAAACAAGAAGTAGGGGGAAATGTGGTTTTGGCTGGTTGAGATGAGAGGTGTTCGGGATTTTGCTTGAAGGGGGGTTAGTTCTTTTTGGTGGGGGGGGGGGGGGGGGGGGGGGGTAATTCTCATGAAAAACTACATGACGAGATATATGGATACGTTTTGTGAGAATATTAAATCACCTATTTCCTTTATGTTGTGTGGAATATCCTAGGAATAAACTCTCTTATGAGCGAGAAGAAAGTTTGTTGGGGGAGTGAGGTTTTAACCAAGGGAAACACAGGCACCCGAAGGTTCGAAGGTGAGTGTAAGAAGCATTGCGACTGTGTAGTTTGAAGTAAGGTGTTTGATTAGAGATTGTTGAAGAGGGTAATCTATTTATCAAGTAATTTGTTGTTGAGACCACTTCGACCTAGAAAGAATTTGGAAGATTGGCCGCATGAAGAAGCGTGTGAGTGAGTTCGATGCGATGATGATGTTTTCGTTCCACGAGACCATTTTGTTCAGGCGTATAGGGGCAACTCATTTGATAAGTAACGTCGTTGTGTAAAAGATATTGACGAAAGACATTACTGTTAATTTCGCCGCCGCCATCGGATCAGAATGTTTGAACGGTTATATGAAAAGTATTTTTAACTAAATTGCAAAAAATATGAAATTTGGAAAATGTTTCTTGCTTTGAATGCATTAGATAAATCCATTAAAATCTTGTGAAATCATCTATAAAAATCACATCGTATGTAAAACCATTTAAAGAGGTATGAGGGGTCGGACCCTAGATGTCCGAGTGAATGAGTTGAAACGGTTAATTACAGGTGGATATACTAGTAGAGAAAAAAAGTTTGTGGCTTTTCATCACATTACAAGAAATACAAATATTAGAAGTATGGGACGAATTACAAAGTTCAAGGATGTTTTTAGCTAAAATAGATAGAAGACGGGGGTGAGGGTGGCCCAGCCTAGCGTGCCATGGAGAACTAGACGTGTTGGTGGTCCTGAGAGATGTGGATCCGATTCCGATGGGAGTTTTAATTTGATACAGAACATTGCGATTGTGATCTTGGAGAAGCGGCTAATTGTCCTGAAAATCCTTAATAAGAAAAATGTTAGCGTCAAAACAAATAGAGACATTATTGTCAGATATTAGTTTAGAGATAGATAACAAATTATGAGAGAGTGAGGAAACGTGAAGAATGTTTCGAATGTGAAGATTACGAATCGACTCCGGTAGAGGTAAGAGGCCTTGGCCCGAATTTTGAATCAGTAAGGTATTATCGTTAGCAATGGAGACTGAATCTAGACTGGAGTAAGGTGTTGGTTGATTGATGTTGAATGCATCAGACATTAAGTGTGAAGACGCCCAGGAGTCCAACACCCATTTGGCGGTAGATGAATTTTGCTATTGGACCGTGAGAGCTTTAGGATTCGAAGGAGGCGCGTAGGAGAGATTACACCAGTGCCAGCAATTTAATGCTGAGTGTCTTGATTTGCCTCATATTTGACATGTTGGTTTGGTCATTGATGCTTATCCCGGAGACGGAAAACTGGAATTGTGATGCAAACATGTAATCCACGTCCGCGGGATCTTGTGAACTTGCCGCGATTAGAAGAATTGCGATTTGGAAGAAGCACAACATTGTCGGATTGTTGTTGTATTTCTTTGAGCTATTCTTGTTGGAGATTAATCTTCTCGCTGCATAAGAGAGAGTAAAGAACGTCTAGACTGATCAGACTCAGGGATGTTCAAATCGTCGTCTTGAAGGGAGTGTAAATGGTAGGAAGACCATTTAAAATGTAAAGAACTATGTCCTCTGCATCCACGGTGGAACCAACCGACGCGATGTTATTGACTAGTATCTTGATTTGGGCGAGATATTGTTGCATTGAACGATCCTTCATTTGTATTTGATGCAGCTCGTTCTTAAGCTGAATGACGCGCGATCGATTTGTGGGTTGTAACCTTCTTTCAAGCGTGATCCAAATTTCGTGTGCGATAGCGAGAGTTAGGACGTATGGGAGGACGAACGGAGAGATTGTGGAAAGAAGTGCCGAAATGAGATTTCGGTCCACTAGCTTCCATAGATTATGGTTGGTTGAAGATGTTTCTAGTGGGTAAGAAGAGACGCCGGTGAGATGTCCACTGAAGCCGTTTGCATAAAGTGTTGAAAGATTTGGAGCTTCCAAATTACGTAGTTTTCATTTATGAGTTGTGTGGGGATGAGATTCTTCAAGTTG